GAATCCTTTGCCTCGGACTCTGATTCACTTTTGGATGCTATTTGGAAACCTGACATTAACCCTTGGAAGAGGGAGGGAGGGAGGGATCGAGGGAAGGAAGGAGAATGGAGAAAGAAACGAAGGAAGGAAGGGAGAGGGGAGACCGAAGAGAGGGAGAGAAGGAGAGGAACAAATGAATGAAGGAGAGAGGGGAGGAGAAGAAATGGGAAGGAAGGAGAAAGAAGGAAGAGGGAAGGAGAAGAAAGGACAAGGAAGAAAAGGAAGTGAAAAGGAAGGAGGAGATGGATGAGGAAGAGGAAAGGAGAAAGGAAGGAAAGAAGGGAAGAAAAGAAGAATGGAAGGAAGTGAGAGAAGGAAAGGAGAAAAAGGAGCGAATGAATGAAGGAGAGGAAAGAAGGAAGTGAAAAGGCAGGAGAGGGATGAGTGGAAAGGAAATGGAAGAAAGGAAGGAGGGAAGAAAAGAGAAAGAAAGAAAGAAGAAAAGAAAGAAAGAAAAAGAAAGAAAGAAAGAAAACTATTTGTGGGACAATGAGGTAATAGGAATCTGGAATTTCAGAAGAATAACTGATCAAATCATCAATCCAGAATAGAGCTGGAAGGTACCTTGGAGGTCATCTAGTCCAACCCCCTGCTCAAGCAGGAGATCCTAAACCATCCCAGACAAATGGTTGTCCAACCTCTTAAAAACCTCCTTGATGGAGGAGCACCCACAACTTCTGGAGGCAACTTCTGTTCCACTGCTTAATTGCCCTCACTGTCAGGAAGTTTCTCCTTAATTCCAGTTGCTTCTCTCCTTGATTAGTTCCCATCCATTGTTTCTTGTCCTGCCTTCTGGTGCTTTGGAAAATAAATTGACCCCGTCCTCTTTGTGGCAACCCCTCAAATACTGGAAGATTGCTATGCTGTCCCCCCCTAGTCCTTTTTTTCTCTAGACATGCAGGGTAATGAAGGTTTAATCATGGATGGGAAGATTAAAGATAAACCAGAAAAGCATCAATTATTAGTGCCATCTGCAGTGCCTCTGTTTGAAACGACTGTTTGAAAAGATTTTGAATTCCGCAGTGCAGTTCTCTGACTTTTAAAAAATGTATATTGTATTAGGGGTGGGGGGGATCCTGCCAAAATGCATTCACTATATACATGCAGAAGAATGTATAAAAAAATAGAATATATAGGAACTGCTCCAGAAAAAAAATAGAATATATAGGAACTGCTCCAGAAAAAAAATAGAATATATAGGAACTGCTC